ATGGCATTCTTCAATGAACTAGAACAAATAGTTCTAAAATTCATATGGATCCACAGAAGACCCCGAAGAGCCAAACCAATCCTGAGAAGGAAGAATAAGGCTGGGGGAATTACACTCCCTAACTTAACACTCTACTACAAAGCCACAGTAATCCAAATAATTTGGTACTGGCAAAAGAACAGACCTACAGGTCAATGGAACAGAATAGAGAGCCCTGATATAAACCCAAACATATACAGTCAATTAACATATGATAAAGGAGCCATGGACATACAATGGGGAAATGACAGCCTCTTCAACAACTGGTGTTGAGAAAACTGGACAGCTATATGTAAGAGAATGAAACTGGATTACTGTCTAACTCCATACACAAAAGTGAACTCGAAATGGATCAAAGACCTGAATGTAAGTCATGAAACCATAAAATTCTTAGAAGAAAACATAGCAAAAACCTCTAGAATATAAACATGAGCAATTTTTTCATGAACATATCTCCTTGAGCAAGGAAAACAAAAGCAAAAATGAACAAATGGGACTACATCAAACTAAAAATCTTCTGTACAGCAAAGGACATCATCAGCAGAACAAAAAGGCATCCTACAATATGGGAGAATATATTCGTAAATGACACATCCAATAAGGGGTTAACATCTAAAATAAATAAAGAACTCTCATGCCTGAACACCCAAAAAGCAAATAACCCTATTAAAAAATAGGGTAAAGCTATGAACAGACACTTCTCCAAATAAAAAATTCAGGTGGCCAATAGGCACATGAAAAGATGCTGTACATCGCTAATTATCAGGGAAATGCAAATTAAAACCACAATGACATTTCACCTCCCACCAGTTAGGATAGCCAACATCCAAAAGACAAGGAACAAAAAATGCTAGCGAAGATGCAGAGAAAGGGGAACCTTCCTACACTGCTGGTGGAAATGTAAATTAGTTCAACCATTGTGGAAAGCAATATGGAGGTTCCTCAAAAAACTAAAAATAGAAATACCATTTGACCCAGGAATTCCACTTCTAGGAATTTACCCAAAGAAAACAAGATCATAGATTTGAAAAGACATATGCACTCCTATGTTTATTGCAGCACTGTTTACAATACCCAAGATATGGAAGCAACCTAAGTGTCCATCAGTAGATGAATGAATAAAGAAGATGTGGTACATATACACAATGGAATATTATTCAGCCATAAGAAGAAAACAGATTCTACCATTTACAACATGGATGGAGCTAGAGGGTATTATGCTCAGTGAAATAAGCCAGGTGGAGAAAGACAAGTGCCAAATGATTTCCCTAATTTGTGGAGTATAACAATGAAGCAAAAGTGAAGAAACGAAGCAGCAGCAGACTCACAGAATCCAAGAAGGGACTAGCAGTTACCAAAGGGAAGGGGGTAGGGAGGGCTGGTGGGGAGGGAAGGAGAAGGGGATTAAGGGGCATTATGATTAGCATACATAATGTAGGGGGGAGGCCATGGGGAAGGCAGTATAGCACCCAGAAAACAAGTAGTGACTCTGTAGCATCTTTCTATGCTGATGGACAGTGACTGCAATTGGGTGGAGGCTGGGGGGGACTATGGATGAATGTAATAATCACAATGTTGCTCATGTGAAATCTTTATAAGATTGTATATCAATGATACCTTAATAAAAAAAAGCTCTTTAGTAAAATAAACCAGCCCCTCTTTCTTGAGTATGTTAAAGGAACCAGGTCTCTGAGGAGAGGCAGCAGCAAGAAGACAAGCAGCAGAGCAGCAGCCCTGTAGGCTTGTCGCTGTCCCCGGAGAGCCGGCCCTACGAGTGGGCAGCCTGCATCCATCAAAGGATGTTAAGAGTATGGAGAAAATCAGAATACACTAAGTAAAAATGAAAAGATGGTTTCCAGCATACAAAATGCAATCAGAGAGCTACAAGATAAAAAGAATTTAGGGATATTGTGGAAATCTCCCAAAACCAGAACCAAAACACAGATGAAAAAGGTGGAAGAAAACTAAGACACAAAATAAAATGTGTTATATAAAATGAAATTATCCATTGTGTCATTTTCCATAGCTCAGTCACTAAATTCACGGCCTATCACCTAGTTTCTTCCTGCATTGGGGATATACTACCTTCTGCCAATCCTGTTTCATGTGGGAAAAAAAGGCTGCCTTTTATGTTTCATGGTCATCTCCATACTGACCCAGGGGGAAGAGGAAGAGAAACTTTAAGGATGTTATACAATCCCGAATGTTCCACTTACTGTGGCTGCATATTCTCCACAAGTCAGTGGCTCCAAAAATAACATTAATTCTTTCACAAATGTACAGTTTGGATGGGCTTGCCCAAGGATCTTTGCTGCTCTTGGCATCAACTAAGGGGGTTTAAAGGTTGGGGGCTGGAAGTACCTGAAATCTCACTCATGTCTGCAGTGGATGCCAGCTAACAGCTGAAATCTCAGCTGTGATGTTGGCCAGAACCACCCTACGCACAGCCTCTCCATATGGTGTGAGCTTCCTCATAACCCTTTGAGCTTATGAGTCATCTTTTCCTATGAATATTCCACAATGTGAGCATTCCTGAATGTGGGTTTTCTTATTGTTTCTCTTGATTAACTGATTGAAGTCAACCACCCAAGTATCCTGGGTTGTGTTCTGAACCTGTCGTCTTCGATTTAGGGCCTAAGCTCTGTGGTGGGTGCCCAGACTTAAATATCTGTCGCTAGCCTGGAGGACCATCCTCCTGCTACTTCCTTCTGATCCCAGCCATCCCTGCACCAGCCACTTGTCAGTCAACAGTTCTTGATCTGCGCCTGCTGCTCTCTGCTGCTGAAGTGCATCCATACTGACCATCTGAGGATCCAGACCAAATCCAAAGATAGAACTGAATTTTCCAGATAATCAAAACTTGCCCCTTCTTCTTAACCAGTGTGGGTGAAAAATCTTTCTAAAATGTTCTCCACAATATCCTCCTCCTTAAACGTGACATTTACTATATACTTGACCAATTTTTCATGGTAATAAACTGTCACCATTTCTGTTCTTTCTAGCTAAGGGAAAGAAATGGGGAAATATATTGTAACACTCTTGCTTCTGGAAACCTAGATTTTAGAAAAGATTAATATTCTCATATTTTATCCGTATATGTACCTCTGGTAGCAAATTAATTTTATGATTAAAATAAGTAAAAAATCTACACCCTACAATTCAGATATGCAAAAATACATAATGTTCTTTATTTTCTGTAACAGAACTGTACTTCCTTATAAGCCCCACCGACCCGTGGAGAATGGATAAAAGCTCGTCTCATTCTCCTCTCATGAGAAAGCCCCGTTTTAGGTTGTCTCACAGACATGCAGAGTTTTTTCCCCATCCCTACCTCCCATCTCTCAGTGGAGAGAGCATCTAGGAGGAAGGGAAAATGCGCATGTTCTATTGGTGAAGGGAAAGAAGCCCCTGAGCTATGTGCTATCCTGCAGATCCTCTAGGTCTGGTTCTACTGAGGAGCACAATCTTGACTGGTCAGGTCCCCAGGACTCGCCTGGTGTGTACAGCTTGTAGCTGGTGAAATTCTCGACCTCATCAGTAGCTCAAATCTTGCTGATCTTCCCTCGCTGACTGTTGATGCCAGTGCCTTGAGATGCATCCATTGTCTAAGCCTGGGCTAGACTGTCTATCCCGAAGCCTGTATTGTAGGCTTACCTGGATCTGTAACCTTGAGCCTGGGAAGCAGGTTCCCTGGCTGTCCGTGCAGTGGTTGTGGTGAGGAAAGTCCTGTTTTTGGCCCTTTCCTAGGTACTGCGTTCAGACCTTTGTCTTACTCCTTGGTCAACAGCATTTTATTCTAGCTCCATGCTGAATGAAAGGGCTCCTTTAAGGGGTTTGGATTCAAACCCTGGGCCATGCCAAGGCCTCCTGCACTCAGACTTGCCCAAACCTACAGATGTTTCTTCACCCCCCTTAACATCCTTTGGCCTACAGATTTGACCCTAAGTGGCACAGGGAGACCAGAACCCCGTCTGATTTATCCCAGTCTCTCTTTCCCTTTATTTCCCCACTCTGACCCCATTCCTGGGCCCCTTCCTCCTGGCTGTCCTGTCTAATCAGTGGGAGAAACCCTTAACTCATGTATGCCCACTTCTCTTGACTATGATTTTGACTAAGACTCAGTGGTCTTGAGTCTAACAGGCTTGCCTCTTGATGTACATCTAAGGAGTGGATGGGTATTTAATAAAACCATTTTCTTCCCTCAGCATGACAGGATTTCAAAGCTTTTGCTTTGGAAAAGCAATACTGGGATGTAAAGCTGAACAATAATGTCTTTATTCTAGGCTTGACACATTCTACACTTGTCTAAATGCAGCCTCATCTAGGAGAACTTTAGGCAATGAAGAAAATGTTCCATCTGCACTGTCCAATACAGTGGTCATAAGCTATGTGTAGCTGTTGACCACTTGAAATATGAGTTGTGTGACTAAGGACTGCAATTTTATTTTATTAAAAAAATTTTTTAAATTTTTAATTGAAATGTAGTTGACACAATATTATATTGGTTTCAAGTATGCAACACAGTGGTTCATCAGTTACCCATATTATTAAATCCTCACCCCAACTAGTGCAGTTACTGTCAACATAGAAACACGTTAGACAACCATTGGCTACATACTCCATAAAAACAATATTTAATTTTATTTTAAATCAATTTAAATCACAGTATGGCTAGTGGCTGCTATACTGGACCATGCAAAAAAAATAGACTTCATGGCACAGACCCAGGGGACAGAAAAAATACAATAAAGGAAGCTGGCTTGCAAACTCTTCAAAAATACTGTCCCTATCACAATTGTTGGTCACTGTTAAAAAGTGCTTTTTGATGTCAGGAATCATATATAATGAGATGGCCTATTTCTGTTTCTGCTAGAATCTATAAAGTTTATTCATATAATACTGAAATCCAGGTTGATAAAAGCAAACATTTATAGGAAATTTGGTATTGTGGTTCTCCTTAGGAGAAGAATCGAGAGCTTGAAATTAACAACATCTATACTAATCGAATACTTAAAAATTTACGTGATGGAGATTATACAAAAGGTATGTCTTAATTATGTCTCAAAATCTATGTTTAAGGGTGTAGTCAGATTTTCCTTATTTATATCACCAAAATAATGGATGCTTTAAGAAATGATTAGGCACTAAAACACATTTTGTGATTCAGGAAGAATAATGAAGTTGACATCATTGAGAGAGCTGGAAAACTGAAGTGTCCTCCTGACTCCCCACGTCCAGCTCAGCCCTCTGTGCCTTAGTTCAGGGGGAATGTAGATGACTTTCCAGCCCGAAGCAAAATATCTGCCAAATACTGAACTTTCTAAATATATCTCTTAGCTTTAGTTTAGGTACAATTTACCTCAATAAATGGCACCACCTTAAGTGTGAAATTCAGTAGGTTTGACTTCCATGCCAATAGACAAAGAACATTCCCAGCTCCTTGGGGCTCCCTTGTCCCTGGCTGGAGGCAGCACTGATGTCCTTCTGTCGCAGTAGCCTCACTTGCCTGTTCAAGGACTTCACTTAAGTGGAGTCATGCAACACGCACTTTTGTGTCTGGCTTCTGTTTCTGTTGTTCAGCATCACATTTTTGGGATTCATCCATGTTGCTGCTACTGTCATTACCTTTTTATTGCTGAGCAGCAATTTTTCTTTCAAGACAGGATGCACTTTTTCTCCCCTCAGATCTCCCAGCACAAGATTCTGCTCGGAAGGACCAGTGGCCTCTATTTTGATAGAAGTAACTACATGTTTACTTCTAAAGGAAACAACCTCAAGTTTCGTGCCTGCCTTTAGTTCTGATTAATACTCCAGAATATCAGCCAGCAGAGAAGATGGTGAAATCAGCCAGGGGTCATTTAAGTGGGATACTACCACTGGGAAAGTGGAGTATAGAGGTGGTGGCCCTGCACCGAGTGTGGGTGCTCTAGCCTTGATGACCAGGAGCTCTGACACAGGAGATGGCAGTGCCTCTCTAACAGCTGCATGGCTGGTTTTGAATCCCTTCAGCAAGCAGGCACAGCCGCACCCCCAAACCGCACAGCCAGCCTACCCCAATGCCCACTGGCATTGTATTCTACCACTGTGACACCCATCACCTTTGCGACTCAAAAGAAGGCAAAGCAAGAGAAATGGAAGGGGAATAAAATGAAACTAGCAAATGTTATACATATACTGAAACTGTTTAGAAAATGTCTAGTATGTTTTGTTTTATTACAAACTTCAGAATTATTTAATATTTAAAGTCAATATTGCTCCCAAATGTAAAATATGTTTCTTACATATAATGTACCTGTTTTGTAGTCTCTCCAACAAAATCAGTACAAGCAGACAGGAAAAGTTTTTCATTTACAAGTATGAGACACCAGGAAACCCAAATATCAGAAGATGTTCCATCTTTGACAACTAAGGTACAACAAATTTGAATGTTCACAATGTCTAACTGAAATATCTTTACAAAACTAGGCTATAAAGAATCACTCATTCTACACAAAAAGTTTGTACTTATTGACTAAAATATAATTTAAAATCTGTACCCCAAAAAATGTGTTTTTGCTGTTTTTCTAAATTATAGGGTAAAAAGACAATAATAGGGAACATTGGTCTTAAAGAAAAAACAACTCCTCACTCTATGAGTAAACTACCAAGACAAGAGGAATCCAAGAGGAAACAGGAAGGTAATTCTAACAATTTTAAAAAGTCTCCTTTTCTCTTGATTTTTAAAAATTGTGCATTAATATGTGTCTGCATGTGTGTGTAAAGGTATACATAGAACACATATATATACAAATTAAAGAATAATTATAAAATGAACACTTGTGTAGCCACTACCCTGCTTAAGAAATAGAACCTTAGTGTCCCTGAGAACACCCGGCGGGCCCCATGACCCTACCCACTCCCTGCCCACCAGAAACCACCACCATCTTCAGTTCTGTGCCCACCATTCCTTCCGCTGCTTATCCTCCCATTACCCTATCCGTGGCTGTACCCTTACCCTTAGGCAGTGTTCAGTTATGATAAACTAAGTAGCAAACCCAAACGCAGCCGAGTAAAGGGCAACATCACCACTAATGAAGACTTCAGGAGCAGGGAAGCTGGACAGACCTGACTTCAGCTTCCTGGCATGGACCGGGGCCCAATCCAGGGTGAGCCGGGCGTGGTCCTGGGAGCCGGGAGCACACAGGAGCTGTGGCATCTCGGCGGGTCTGGAAGGCGTGGGCTGCTCAGAATTTCCTGCTCTTTGCTTCACAGAGCTCAGGCCAAGTGAATGCTTCTGGGAGTGAAACAGTCCTGAGCGAGCCGATGCAGGCTGCAGTGCAGGAGAGAGGGCAGCACCTTCAGCAGACCAGGCACAGAAACATTCGGAACCTGCGTGGTGTAGCGGAGAAGGGTGACGCCAGCCCGTAAAGCTAATGCCTCTGGCCTTGACGTCTGCCCTCAGCCCCTGCTGTGCAGCTGTCACGCTGGGATTTCCCTTCACCATTGCCCAACAGGTTCCTTCAACTCCCTTCTCTACCAGGTCTTCTGTTTCCTAAACCATGTCCTCTTTCTTGGTAACTGCCACCATGTCCCAAGAGCATAACTTCTACTAGCTTCTTGAGAACGGATACATCTGAGTTCATCTACCTTTCATCTGGAAATGGCATTATTCTAAACTTACACTTAATTAATAATTGGCTAGAAAGAAAATTCTAGGTTGGACCTCATTTTCCTTCAGAATTTGGAAGACACTGCCCCATTGTTTTCATGACAAGCTACTGGAAGAGGGAGTCTGGGTGAAAACCCACACACTGGGATTAAAACCACAATGAGGTATCACCTCACACCAGTTAGGATGGCCAGCATCAAAAAGACTAAGAACAAATGCTGGCAGACAGAGGGGAACCCTCCTACACTGCTGGTAGAATGTAAGCTAGTTCAACCATTGTGGAAAGCAATATGGAGAGGTTCCTCAAAAAACTAAAAATAGAAATACCATTTGACCTGGGAATCCCACTCCTTGGAATTTACCCAAAGAATACAACTTCTCAGATTCAAAAAGACATATACACCCCTGTTTATCACAGCACTTTTTACAAAAGCCAAGATATGGAAGCAACCTAAGTGTCTGTCAGTAGATGAATGGATAAAGAAGATGTGGTACATATAAACAATGAAATACTATTCAGCCATAAGAAAGAAACAAATCCTACCATTTGCAACAGCATGGATGGAGCTGGAGGGTATTATGCTCAGTGAAATAAGCCAGGCAGAGAAAGACAAGTGCCAAATGATTTCCCTCATTTGTGGAGTATAACAACGAAGCAAAACTGAAGGAACAAAACAGCAGCAGACTCAGAGACTCCAAGAAGGGACTAGTGGTTACCAAAGGGGAGGGGTGGGGAAGGGTGGGTGGGGAGGGAGGGAGAAGGGGATTGAGGGGCATTATGTTTAGTACACATGGTGTTGGGGGTGACGGGGAGAACAGTGTCACACAGAGAAGGCACATAGTGAATCTGGCATCTTGCTGCACTGATGGACAGTGACTGCATTGGGGTATGGGTGGGGACTTGATAATATGGGTAAATGTAGTAACCACATTGTTTTTTCATGTGAAACCTTCATAAGAGTGTATATCAATACCTTAATAAAAAAATTTTAAAAAGAAATGAAAAAAGAAAACCCACACACTGGGCAAGCATGACCTCTGTGGGGAGAACAGACGCTAATGAACAATTCCAAAAGCCAGCAGGGCCGCAGGGCACCTTCCCGCCAGCAGAGTGGAGAGGCCTTGGGTGGAGGCCCAACTGGCCTAAAGTGTGAATGACACAGAGGTCGGGCAGGACTCACCTGGGAGCCCCCGACAGGCGGCGCGGCTTGCCGAGCCACAGCTGCGTTTGCAGCGCCTTCTGTGCTCACCGGTCCACCTGTTTTCCACATTGTCCTAGAAAAAGGTTCATTCATGTGACAAATGTGTTTTTGAGCATGTGTGTGTCAGGCACTGTTGTGGGCACAGGGATACGGCAGTGAAGACAAAATGCCCTGCCCTGGAGAGCTTATATTCCAGAAGACACACGCTGATGAGAAGGGAGGGCTGTGGCGTCGGAGGGTGAGGAGCACTGGAGAGCAACATGAGCCAGACGAGAGGGCGGGCGGGGGACGAGGTGACGCCGGGGAGGCGCTCCCCAGCGAGGGCGGGAGGGCACCGCGGGCCAGCTTGGGAGGACCGCGGGGGGTGACCCAAAGGGCGCAGGGGGCGCGGCAGTGTGCACTGCCTGCTGCCAACGGCCACGGGCCTGAGGCCGGGAGCTGGCGGGAAATTGCAGCGCCAACCAAGTTACGTTTTAACACTCGCATGGAGTGTCACAGGGCCTGGCATGGGCAGGTACTTAGAATTCTAACTACAGTTTGCTGGCCTCTTTGCTCCCCACCAACTCTGGAAACATTTCTTTCTCTTGCTAGAATTGCCTATTTATTTTCTTGCAGTATAATGAATAATTTTATTTCAGAATGTGCACACATGAGAAAATTTTCCAACCCCCACCCGTCTGACATTCTCCCGTCTTCTCTCACCGATGCCAGCCATTCAGCTTTGCAAAGGACAGCCCAGGCTGAACAGGCTGCTGGGAGAATGTGCAGGTTTTCTCTGAACTTGGGCCTTTCTGCCTGCAAAGGCCTCTCCTGTGGAGGGGAAGGCTGAATGCAGGGCTTCCCCAGTGCCTGGGGAAGGCACAGGAAAGGCAAGCTTACCTTCAAATGGCCTTTCATTTGAGGATGTACTGTGAACACCTTTTCCTGTCAGCCACCCCATTCCTCGTGGCTGCACAGCCTGCCGGGGACTGCACACACACCAGTGCATAAACTGTGGCTCCTGACACACAGGGAGGGTGATTCGCTGTTACCAAACCGCACCGACATCCTTATACACATCCTTGTATATATTTTTGCAGGTCTTAGAAGTGAAGCTCCTGGGCCAAAGTTGTTTTTTTTTAATTTAAAACTTTTAATAAAGATACTGCTAAATTGCCATCCAAAAAAAAGCTGTACCAATTTACACATCCACCAGTGGAGAACAGAAGTTCCCATTTCTCCACAGTCTCACCAACTCTGGAAACTATTTGCCAATTGGGTGGGTAAAAAATACTGTTTTAATTGACACTAGGTCCAGCTAGTGATGTGAACATATACTGACAGTTTATCCGCAAATTTTAGTTGTTCTTTCATGAATATCATTTTTCTTTTAGTTTCAAAATTCTCATTTGGTATGTTCTAGGAAAGTATGACATTTCAAGCTTGTTAATAGCACCCTTCCCTGTAGTGTTGTATGAATTTATTTTCTTACCGTTTTTGTCATTTTAAAGTGTTTGTTGGGAGACATAAGTGTGCTAAACACTCTACCTTGGACTATACATCAATTTTCAAGAACACTAAATTGGCTGTTTTTCTAATAATAGATGTATCAAAAGAAGAGGAACATTTGGAAGTACAGCCACCTCCGGAGAATACTGGAAAGCAAACAGAGAGAAAAGAGGACCAAGAGAAGAAAAGTACTCCAGTGAAAGAAGAACAAGAACTGCCACCAAAAAGAACTCAAGTGATTTGTTCTGAGAAAGAAGGCAATCAGGAAGCTGATACAGTGAAAGAAAAGTTTAAAATAAGTCCACACATAAATGACGTGGATGACATACCTGATAAAAATGCTGCTCTAATTACCAAAATACCCTTCAGACAAAGAAAGCATTATTCATTCACAGAAGCCACTGAAAACCTGCACCAAGGGCTCCCTGCGTCTGGCAGGGCCGCCAACACAGGCGCCATGAGATGCAGCCACAGCACCAGCAAGCATCACAATCACATCCGAGGGCTGAAGCTACAACAGTCCCTTAGTGAATATGAGCCTTCTTTTGCTAAGTTTCCCAATACAAAAGCAAATGATACAGCTTTCAGGAACAGAAAGAGCTGTGTAATGGAAGAACTCTTTGGATCTGGTTGTATCTTAAAACATGACCAAACAAGTACCACTGTTAATAAAGGGGCTGAGGGAACTTTGGAAGGTGAGGTGCGTCGTCTACCTCCTACTCAGGCCTCCGCCAGCAATGCTTTTGGAGATGCTAAAGTAACTGTGGTAAATTCTATTAAGTCATCTACCCCTACAGAAGGAAAAAGAAAAATATTTATTTAAATATAATCAATATCCTAATACATTCTGGTTTGGTAGTCTGGTTCTTATGTAACTTTAGCTTTGTAATTTATGTGTGTATGTGTGTGTTTCTGCAGTACTTAGGCTGACTTTGAATAATTAGTTTTGTTATATACTGCTAATCAAGTGCAAAAAAATCTATTGTATATTAGTCAATGATGACTTTCAAATACAAAATTACATCTTTTTTCCCTGCAACTGAAACATTTCCATTATCTTCCAGAAGACTGATTTATAACTTTAGTATTCTATGGGTTAGTCAACCCAAGAGACATTTCATACATATAAGCAATCAAAATGCACTGTAACTTAACATGGAAGCAGCTTTGAAAGGGAACAATATGATCAAAAGACTCTCTTTAAAAAGCAAAAGCATAGTGATTACCAAGCTTGGCTTTATGAAAATTAAATAATATGAATGTTGTTCAGCTACTATCCTGCCTTAGGAGGTTACACTTTCCTTGTATTTATGTAACATGCAGCATTTTTTAAATTTACAGCTGTTGCACACCTATACCTTAACCTTTTTTCTGTTAACTTTATTCTTTAAAAAAAAGTGTATCAGTATAGTGTCCATTCAAGGTAGTTGCTCAATCCTAATCAACATAATCATTCCCCTCAGAATACTTTATATTAGGACTATCCAAATAGGGGCTGTACTCCCAATGTTAGTTACCTTCACTCAGTATTTCAAAGGGCAACTTATTTATAATTTAGACCATACTAATTCCAAAGATGTTTACAGGTTGGTGTGTATTACACACTTTTAAAAATTAAGAATGGTCAAATATTAACACACTTTTAAAAATTAAGAATGGTCAAATAAACTTTTAAAAGGGAAAGTAATTGTGGGAAAAGAGCTGTATTTAAAACCAAAGTTGAGATAAATACTACAATTGGCATAAGCTTTGATCTTTATGAAAACCACAGTGGGGATAAAAGAAGGAGAGGGAGGGGATAGAGTGAAGGGTCGGAATCCCACTCATTATAGGAGGAGATATGCACATGTATGTCAAATGACATAAATGCCTGGTTTATAGGACAAGTCCAGTGTGCTACCTGCTTTTGCAAATAGAAATCTTCCTCAATTTATGATGGAGTTACGTCCCAATAAACCCATGCATACCCTAGGTTGAAAACCCATTTAATGCATCTAACCCACCAAACATAGCTTAGCCTAGCCTACCTGAAACACGCTCAGAACACTTACATAAGCCTCTGGTTCAGCAAAATCATCTAACACAAAGTCTACTTTATAATAAAGTGTTGACTACCTCATGTAATTCACTGCATACTTTACTGTAAGTGAAAAACAGAATGGTTGTCAGCAGCCCATGGGTTGTTTACCCTTGTAATCACGTGCACCTCGCTGCCCAGCATCACAGGAAAGGATCAGACCATGTATTGCTAACCCAGGAAAAGATCCAAATTCAAAATTCAAAGTAGGGTTTCTACTGAATGCACATTGCTTCACACCATCATAAAGACAAAAAAGTTACATCAAGCCACCCAAGGTCAGGGACTGTCTGTAGTGATTTGTTAACCGCTCTTCTAACTGATAAACTTTAGGTAGAAAGAACGTGATTTGAGATAAGAGGTTTCATATACACGAAAGTGGTAAATGTGTAATTCTGAACAGACGTTACTTTTATACAATCGATCTCTTAACGGAATTACAGATAAGTACAGAAGATACGGCTAAAGTACCATATATATATCAAATAAGTACATGACAACAGCAGCACATACATTGGAAAGCCTGAAGTTAAGGTGTTATGAGGCTTAAGCTGATAAAAACAAACATTAACTTTGAGCACTTAGGAACTTTGAAACAGCAGCAGCAGAGGAGCATGAAAAAACAAAATAAGGCAATTTAGATAATAGAAAATTTTATTGGTGTGTGCCCCTGGCACAGGGCTTCTGAAACTTGTAATTTCCTGGGTGACAGGTGTGTCTTTTCTAATGTGGTGACTGGGTGGCTCCTGGATGGGGGCCAGTCACCAGAAAGAATAAGCCATGATTAGCTTGACGTTTTCAGCCCCACCCAACATTCTCTTGAGAGGAGAGGGGCTGAAAACGGACTACGTGATAAAGCCTCCATGAAATCCCCATAGCACGGGGCTCACAGAACTTCTGGCTCGGTCTGCATGGGTAGGGGCAGGGAGGCGGTACATCTGGAAAGGGCAAGAAAGCTCTGAGCCCCCTCCCGCATACCTGCCCCAGGCATCTCCTCCATCCCGACACTCATCTGCATCCCTGAGCATGCCCTTTTAGAGTAAACTGGTAAATAGCGAGTGAACTGTTTTCCTGAGCTCTGTGAGTTGCGTTAGCAAATTGATCAAGCATGAGGGGCGCCATGGGGATTTCTGGTTTACAGTCAGAAGCCCGGGTGACAATGTGGACTTGCAGTTGGTGTCTGAAGTTGGGTGGGAGCAGTCTTGTGGCATCTGATGCTATCTCCAGATAGACAGTGTCAGAATTGAGTTAAACTATTGGAAACCCAGATGGTGTAACAGAAAATCACTTGTTGTCGGGGAAAAACCTCCACTCATTTGACGATCAGAGGTGTTAGAAGTGAAGTGCTGCGTGTGAGTGTGGTAGTCGAGTGAGACACACAGGAGAAACACAAGAGGAAAGAAGAACTGTTGGTTCTCCTAAAACAGCAGGAAAAGAGGAAACAAAATAGAACAAAAACACAAAATAAGATGACATAAACAAATCCAAATGTATCAGTAATTTCAGTAACTATGGGCTACATGTTCCAATTAAAAGACAATATAGATCGGATTTTTTTAATATAGCCATGTGCTATTTATACACCTATCTAAGCCACTAAGATACAAAAAGTTAAAGGGCAACAAGGTAAGTCAGGAAAATACTGTCCAAGTGAAAGTTGGTGTCCTGCTGTAAATACGTTAAAAAAAAAAAAGAAAAACCAATAAAGTGTGTACTCCACCAGGAAGATATGAGTTCTGAACATACATGCATTTAACAATAACTTAAAAACATAAAGCAAAAGTTAACAACTACAGGTTGATATCAAAGTGGGAGATTTTTACATACCTTTCTCAATAATGGACAGCTCAGCAAATAAAAAAGCACCAGTATAGAAAAAGATTTGAAAAGACAGCTGGCAACTTTGACCTAATAGACAAGGCCATCCCAACAACTTCAAAACTTGCATTTTCCATCACTTACATAGCATTTAAAAAAATTTTATCCTAGTATGTTTCAAAGTTGAGAAGAAATGGATAAATCTTACACTAATATGGCTAATGTAACTTAAGAATATAAAATGGAATAACCCTATAATTACTAAAGAAACAAATTAGTAGTTAAAAATCTTCCAATAAAAATAAGAGAAAACCCAGACTTTTACCAGCAAGTCTGTCATATATTTAAAGAATAATATCTTAATATGTCCAGAATATAAAAAAAGAAAGAACATTCTTCACCTCATTTTTTTTTTTGAGAGGGCATCTCTCATATTTATTGATCAAATGGTTGTTAACAACAATAAAATTCTGTATAGGGGACTCAATGCTCAATGCACAATCATTAATCCACCCCAAGCCTAATTCTCGTCAGTCTCCAATCTTCTGAAGCATAACGAACAAGTTCTTACATGGTGAACAAATTCTTACATAGTGAATAAGTTCTTACATGGTCTTCACCTCATTTTTTGAGGCTTGCATAACCTTGATACCAAACCAGATAAAGAAAAAGACAATAATGCCCATACTCATCACTTCTATTCAACTTTGTACTGAAGGTTCTAGCCAGAGCATTAGGTAAAAACAAAAATCACTAACTAAAAAGGAAGAAGTAAAATTATCTCTATGCAGATACATGATCTTGAATATAGAAAATCCTAAGGAATCCACTAAAAAGCTATTGGAACTGTTAAGTTCTGCAAAGTTGCAGAATACAAGATCAGTGTCCAAAAATCAATTTCTATACACTTGTACTACATAATCTAAAATGAAATTTTAAAAAACAATTCCATTTATAACATCAAAAAATAAAATGCTTTATAAATAAATTTAACAAAAGATGTACAAAACTTACCATCTGAAAACTAGAGAACATTGTTGAAAGAAATTAAAGATCTAAATAAATGGAAAGACATCCTATATTCATGGATTGGAAGACTTAATATGGTTAAGATGGCAAAACTCCCTAAACTGACAAATTCAACAAAATCCCTATCAGAATCCCAGCTAACTCCTCTGTAGACACTGACAAGCGGATTCTAAAATTCATTTGGAATTACAAGGGACCTAGAATAGCCAAAACGACCTTCAGAAAGAAAAAAACTGAAGGGTTCACACTTCCCAATTTGAAAACTTACTGCAAAACAACAGTAATTAAAACACTGGTGTAAAGGAAGACATGTAGATGGATGGACAGTCAATTGATTTTTGACAAGGTTGACATCACTCAATAGGGAACAGTCTCTTCAACAAATGGTGCTTAGGCAAGGGGAGACCCATATACAAAAGAATGAAGTTGAAGACTTACCTCACTCTGTATACAAATACTAGTTCAAAACAGATCAAAGACCTAAATGTAAAGGCTGAAACTGTAAAACTCTTAGAAGAAAACATAGGCATAAATCTTTGTGACCTTGAGTTTGTCAATGGATTTTTAGCTATGACACCAAAAGCACAAGCGACAACAAAAATATTGGCAAAAGCTACACAATATTTATTCACAATTTAAGATTGAACTCACTCCCAAGAGTCAATACTCTGAGTATTAAACTCCGAATATGCAAGCAGAAAACTGGCCCACACAAACAAGAACAGTGAGCCCAGAGAGAGTATGATCCACCTGCCTAAAGATCTACAAACTGTGCAAACTAGCCATACAAGTAGCTTTGAATCTGGTGACACCACCAAAGAGCTCTGTCCTGAAGGACTTGGAAAACAACAGCATCCTAGAAAATTCTAATAACTACAAACTGGTTAACACCTTACTATAAAAAAATTTGCTCCCTGTAAAAGGCATACATGGCCCTGATGGAAAACCATTATGTGATTTTTTTTTTTTTTAGGTTAAATATTCCTATGTACGGACTTAAGACATGTTGGGAGGGGTATAAAAAAGTCTAAGCAACAGTCTCTGGCCATAAACGCACTTGTAGCATCACTGGAAAGAAAAGCCTTAATCACAAAATAAGCATCTAACACATTAGGAATGAAACCACAAAAGAGCAGACATCAGAAGTCAGTACAAAATTAATTGACATTATTAGTCATATAGATATTACTTAAGATGTTCAGATGAGGGTGGAAATTTAAAAAATCACTATCTTCTAAGGTGGTCAGAGAAGGCTTCATAAACAATCTCAAAGGTCTGGTAAAATATAGATTGGAGAGAAGGGTCGGCATACACACACATATATACACATGAAGTGTCCCCACAGAGAGCTGTGCCTGTGTAACAAAAACCATCGGAGGCCAGAGTCCAGCAAACTAGTTTGATTAGCATTCCAGCCACTTGTGCCAGCAACAAGAGTGTATTAACCCCACACAGAAATGATTGAGGGTTTGTATGTAAAAAGATTTCCCTGCTTGATTTACCATAAATAAAAAGCAAAAATTGGCATGAAGAGAGCTTTAGATGGATTTTAAATCAAATAGATGTCTATTTTCATGTAAAGTTATAAACTATATCCACTATTTTTTAACAGACATAAAACCTATAGCCATCCATAAATATATAGAAAAAAGGAAAAGCACAGTGTCAACCCCAGTAATCCCAGTTCTGTGGAATCATGGGAGACTGCTTCCTGGCTCCTTTTCTGTACTTTTCAAGTGGGATTTTCTTTTTAAAGCAGCAGTTACTTATTTTTAGGTATTACTTTTAGAATTTAAAACAATTTTAGTTTAAAAGCATACATAATGACATTTATATATATGTATGGAGTATTTCGGAAGAATCCTAAGAAACTGGTAATAGTGGAAAACCTTGGAAAACTGGGGGACATGACAGTAGAGGGTAAGAAGATATTCTTTCTGTATACAAAGGTCTCTGTATCTTTTGAATTCATTACCATGTTTATTATCTAGTTTAAAACATATAATTTCTGAAAAACCACAATGATTTGAAACACAAAGGATATTAAAAATTCTAATTAATCTTCACAAATTGTTAATGTACATAGAAAAAGTTAACAGCTAGGAACTATAAATCTTTTATTACTCTAGCCTCAGTGACATTTGTCAAAATTCTTGCAGTATTAACTGAAAGAATATATTCTGAGAGAAATAAGGGTCTTATCTTAGGAGATAAATACAGGCAGACTTTATTCCAATTAGTGATCCAAGGATGTCCCTAGGCATGCTGGACTTGGCCACCCAATTGTTTACTGTATATCCTGCCATTTACACCGGCAGCTCACTAAAAATGGGCACTAGGCATACGGACTCCAAGGGAAGTTAAATCCTGCAGCTTCCTTGGGCTGCTCTCTCTTCCTCAGGGCACCTTCTTATTCTTTGTGGTCAAAATATACTTCATGTGACTGAGATGCTGGAAGCTGGTGTCCAAGTCCTCCATGATACTGTCTGCTATAAACACTGCTGTACCCCATGTTCTGTATCTTTTCTCAAAGCCAAGTCAACTTGGTACATGGTAAGTCTGAATGGTAAGGGAAACTTCAACCCCACTCTGGTGACGATTAATGAAAATAGGACAGAACTTGGTCTTTTCATAGTACAATTAGCAGCAATAATAATGAGCTACTTATTAGACCAGGAGGGAACACTAGATACAAATATGATCTTTTAAAAACCAGTGACAGAATTTAGCTTTATCGTTCTGTGACTGAGTTAATTTAAAGTAAAATCCCTCTGCCACTTTTTGCAGTTACAGGCTGATCACAGCAAGTAAGTAGCTGTACGAAAAAAAGTTACACATGTCCTTGCAAGCATTTTAATTATAAAGTGTTTTATAGAGGGAAACTAGACTTACTGTGATGATTTCTCAGGGTATACAAATATCATTATTTTGTACACCTGAAACTAATGTTATATGTCAATTACCCTCAATTAAAAACAAAAGAGCAACACAACAATTTTTTTAAGTGCTTTAAAAATTTTAGCAAAATTATACTTTATGAGCCAAACATGCATCCATTCAAATTAATTTAATCAGGCTTCTTAGATTGATTTTTAACCTTGTTCCATTCTACACAGCATAAATATTAAATGCTTATAAAATACACTTCACTTGAAATGCTTTAAATACAACACACACAATTCAAGCACAAACAATACATTATGGCCTCATGAACACATTTCTAAAACACAGTAATGAAAAATTAACAGCTTCAAATAAGTAGATAGCACTATACAAAGGCTTCCCCCCAAAATGACACTGAGACAGAGGAAGAAAAAGCACAAGCAATGGCAATTAGTGTAACTCTTTTAGAAGTGCTACATGAGATTAAAAAACAAATTTTCAAATTCTAGTATTGGTAGTAAAATAAAATTGCTTTCTAATCTGGATTAAAAACAGTAAAGTCTTTAAAGCAATTAACTTAATAGGAAATTTTGACTTTCCCATTGGCATTGTAACCTTTAATATATGGCAAAAGTGTAAATCAAGGGTAACAACACATAGATGTTCATAATATCACACATTTCTTATTATAAATCTGGTATCATGCTGGCCAATATGTACATGTGACAGACTCATCTTTCTGGCTCAATGAGAAGTGTACAAAATCATGATTCTTACAAGATTCTCATATAAAGCCCAAGAACAAATACATTCAACAAAAAAACTAACCTGTGGACTTTCATTTCTTAAAAAAAAACACCAATGAACGAGTGTAAATAGGACTTTTAACCAAGTAAAAATGTCATGGCTGTCTCCATCTTCTTTTTCAGCTGAAAGGGTGAAGCACTATAGCCACAACTTTGTTGCAGACCAAAATCCAACAGGTAATTCCAATACCACCTAAAAATGAAGAAATTCAACATAAGAGAGCATGCCAAAAGCATGCCATATTTCCTGCCTCTGTGACCTTTCAGTTACAGGAAATAAGAGTATTTCAATTCTGAGCAGTGCTAGGATAAGAAGTTCTAAATTTGTGTTTTGTGGGAAATTCACCAGACTTTCCATGGATTCACAGGGCTGCCTTTTTAAACAAGAATTACAGAGAACAACAGGTGCTGGTTTGGATTTCTCTTTCCTGCCAGAGAGAGGTGCATTATTGTAAAGTAATCCTGTGAGACTATTTGTTTTCCCTTCTCAGAAAAACATAATAACCAAACAATGCTTATGCATGCCTTTCTTGCCCAACTGAATAGAGAAGACAGGAAGACAGGCTGTAAGGGGGTCACCAGGTGCCTGGAAGGGGGAGCCTCCTGCTCCTCTGCTCAGCAGCTGACAGCCCACCAGCAGCGCCACACCAGGTGGAACAGTAGCTAAACTGGAAATCTTGGAAAGCGTTCTTATGTTGGACATAGTGATTCAACTCAAGCAGTAGAACAAATCACAACTTAAGACTGACTGACAAGGATGTGTGCTGCCACATTACTCTTGATCATAAAATATTAGGACCTAAGTCTTTTAACAGAGAAATCAGTAAATTATGACATATCCAAATGAAAAACAGCTATTCAAAATTCCTTAATAAAAGAGTTAAGTGACATGGGAAAGGTTTTACAATATAAAGTAGAAAGGGGTATAAAATTTTATGTGCCAGATTCCCTTAACTGTAAAAAAATAAATAGAAAAAAAGACTGGAAAAATATGCCACAATGTTAAGAGGGGTTATCTATAGCTAATGAGATTTTTTTTAATTGTTTGTATATATTTCTAACCATTCTACAATGACATGCACTACTTTCAACAACCAAATTAAATTATCTTTCAAAAATAAAAGAACAGCCAACAGCAGTAAATGCTGCAGAAAGCCGAACAAGAACAGAAAACAGGTCACAGAGTCTGGGAACTAGAGGCTGCTGTTGCAGTAAATGGGATATGAAACTCCAGGTATTGGGCTTGGATTCTAGAAGCAGACATGGGCTGCATTCTGCCTCTGCTACTTGACGTTCTGGTGACAAGGGACAAGTTAGGTGTCTACCCTAGACCTCGGGCTCATCACTGTAAGCCTGTTCGAGGTGGAGACACAGAGCACTGCTCACTAGTGGAAAGGGCGACAGCAGGTTGGCTTATGCGTCCCCCACATGCCTCTACATAAGCCTATACATATTCTTCCACTATGTTTTCTAGAAAACTCTTACCTGCTACTCTAGTAGGGAATGCTACCAGGCGGTCTAGTGGAGTTATCCATTTACTCGGCACCACAGCCACAGGGACGGAGTAGTATTTCCAAATCAGTGAGACCATCAGGGCAGCCTGCGAAGACACTACTGGTGAGAGCAAACAACCCACCAGACGCCCAAACCATCACCACAGGAAGCTGGGAATCGTGAAAACCAGCTTAGGAACTGCAAATCGATGGCCCCTAGTCCAGCAACCCTGTCCCAGCAAGCAGCAGAAACACTCACAGAAACAATGTCCACTGTCAGCACCTTGAAATAGAGCGTCTGATTAAAGACTAGTTCACGAGGACACCTAGACATGCTGCCCAGAAGTAGGGGAGCCTTCCTCCGTGAACCAGCATTTTCCTGTTTTACATATGAGTAATATATACACACTATTAAATTAGCTGAAGAACTGACCAAGGTCTCTCATAATATAGGTGTTATTGTCTCACTGACTATCTCCTTTAAGTACTCAGAGGATGCTAAATACACCTTATTAGTAACAAAAGCAATCTTACACCTCCAGATCCTTGAAAGACCAACTACTTCTCTCACACACAGGAGCACTGCCATCGGCGTGCAGAGGTGAGCCCTCCTCAAGTTTAAGATGTAGGTAGAGAAGGGCTGCTTTCTTTTCCTCCTCTTCCTAGCAGCATTCCTTCAGCTGTCTTCTGTCCCCATCATGGCCCTGAATTTGCCACTTAAACTCCTCAGACCTCAAAGAGGGCATCTGGCTAATTCCTGTCCCTGTGCAACCTACCTATCAAAGTGACTGCCCCAGGATCAATGTGCTGAACTACATCCAAACAACCTGGGCTTTGGGGATGTTGGTTCAATTCCTTTACCACTGAACATCACTTAAAGCAGCCACTGAAGTGTGTATGCAGCACATGCAGAACCTCAGAGTAAAGCAGAAGCAGAAACAGTAAGAGTTCCACAGAAAATGAACCAAAGCACAAATCCCCACAGGTAAGAGAGCTGGGAATCAATGGTTCTAGACTTTAATGAGAGTAAGGCTTCCCTACCCGGAACCCGGAAAGCAGACAATCACTACACATCTCCACACCACATAATAAGCAACGGGCAAAACTGACGGTCTCAGAAAATACAATGTCTAAATTGTCTTCTCTCACTTCTCCCCACATGCCCCCAAGCCTGGACTGGAATAAAGGTGGTATGAAGGAATTCCAGAGAAGTTACTTCAGAGTTCATTCCTCTAAAAAAAGCCCAAGGTTTACCAACTCTAATCACGAGAAAGGCTTTCCTGTAGTCTAAGTTCACAGAGAGCTCTGGTGCAGCTGGCAGGACCCCACCGCACAGCAGGATAAATGGAAGTACCTGAAGTCCCAGACCTGGATTTTGGGGTTCACATGGTTCTGGAGGACAACATGTTATTAACTTAATGACCCCAGGTGACACAATAGGACACTTACTTGCAATATGTAGAAAGCCACACTCATAACCCATTTTATCTTGGCCAACTGAGCTGTCCGTGCCTTCACTGAAAGGAAAACAGATGAAATTATTCTATCAGCTTGAAAATGAGGAAAATGCTGACATACACAGAAATGTTCTTATATTTCCTAATTATGTATATAACATTTGCTCAACATACTTAGAAAATACAAAACAGAATTTAAGAGTCACACACTATGGCATTATTTAAAATAGAATCACAGATTGTGAGATTTGAAGCTTAAATTCTGAAAACCCTTAGAACTATTCATCTAAACCAGAGATTCTTTTCACAATGCATTTACCACTTACCAACAGGACTGAATTTTCTTCCCAGATTCCCCAACCTACACAGTACACAAATGTCCAAATGGACGTCTTAGTCTGTCTCGGGCCAGGCGGGCCCCGCCGTACAATGTCCTGGCCACACACCCGACTCTCACTATGCAAACTTTCAGTGCACAGGCGGAAATGGTTGTCACAGGAAACCGTGAGGTGCAATGACAAACGCAAAGATGAATGAGACCCGATCCCTACTTTCAACACTACACATAGGTAAGGACAGTGCTGAGCCTTTTTTAGAGTGTTCATAAAAGTCCCTGGGAATCCACTATGAGATTTTTTCTAGGCTTCTCTAAGAAAAGTGTTGAATTTTAAAATATCAACCTACAAAAAAAATGAAGAAAACCTAAGAGGTTGTTAGATGTTTCTGTTTAGAAAGCAAAGTTCACCAGCAAATAAGGAGAAAGTAATCACTATCATTGGGTTTCTTTAGACAACTTGAAGGTTTCTATCAACATTTATAACATCCAAGAATCAAAACATGCAGCCTACAAAATCTTTACATAAAACCTCTACATTAATCAGCTCTTGTGAAGCTTTCCAAGTGATGACTGAAACCAATACCATGCGTTTTGAGCTTATCCGTCATCTTGTTGATCTTTCTCTCCAGCCTGGCATACCGGGCGAACTCGTCCATCATGTTGACAGTGGAGAGCTCTTGCTTCATATCCTGGATCTCTGCTCTCATCTGTGACTCCTGCTCTGCATCCTTCTGCAGGACCCTGGACATCTGGAGGAGTGGACAGCTGGGGTCAGAGCCCTTCCACATGGGCGCACCTCCTCCACCACCTGTCTGCTGCCTCTTTCAGCTGGGCAAGCTGCCCTTCTGCTACACAGCCAATCTCTGCTGGCTTTTCTGCTCCTGCTCCCCAAAATAGCCACAAAAATAAAACTCCCATGTGAACTGATGTGCATCACTATTCAAATTGTATTTTTCCTTTTGCACACATGCCCACCAATTGCTATAATACAAATGTATCTTTCGCAATAACTGTAAAATTGTGATTATAAAATGAAAACCAACTCCATCCCCAGTGCTGTCAGTCAGGTGACGAAGACCACTCATTCTCTTCCCTTCCTGAATAATTCAACTAAGGGGGCAGAGCAAGGTGCAGGTGCAGGGTGCCAGTAATGAGGGGGTGCCCCAGCACAGGGCCTCAGAGTCCAAGCACAGTAAGGAGGGCAGTCCCCAAGAGGGGCACCCTGGCAAGAGGGGTCGAGAACCAAGCATAGCGATATGGGGGTCTCCAAGACGAGCAGCCTGGCAGAGTCAGAGTTGGAGCAGGGTAGGAGGGCGTACATGACAAGAAGATGGTACCCAGGCAAACGTGGTGTCAGAGCCCAAGTTGGGCAGGCGAGCAACCACATGGGGGGAAGAGGGCCAGAGATGGGAGATTAGTTACAAGGATTGGTCAAATAAAGTAGACATGGCAGTGGGAGCCAGTTTTCTCACTGTCAGAGAAGAGAGTTAGAAATACGAATCGGGAGAACACTAAATGAATCCTGTGGTACTGGATTACAGTTGGAGGCATGGGTGTGAACTCAAGGTTTTCCACAGATACACAGAGAAACATAGACGTAAATGTTTGTAATGAGTTTCCGACACCCGGCCCCACCTGGAACGCGGCTGGCCCAAGCACCCGGCTAGGAAGGTCCTCTTGGTCCCTGCCACGCCGCCCCAGATGCCCAGCAGATTCACACCTGCCTGGAGACTCGCCGGTGGCCCGGGGAGAAGATGGCAGTGGCCACCAGGTGGCGCGAGATGACCTCCTGGGCCGGGGCTGGGTCACTGCTGAACAATGAGGATCCAGGAACAGAGAAATCCCAGGGAACCGCCTGAGTGCTGAGTGAACATCCCCAAGTTGACCAGGGTGCCAAATGCAATGAGAACACAGCGTCCTTTGTGTGACGTTCCCGCTAAAAAATGGGAGAAAATGTCCTACAAAGGCCATTCCACCTGACCAGATTCAGAAATGTCAACTGGAGAAGTCAAGGAGAGCCTGAGGATTCTTCTAGACTGGAGACTTTGACAAGTATGTGCAACGTGGGGTGCTGAAAGGACCCTTTTGCTACAGAGGACTCCGCTGGGACATGTGGAAAACCTGAATGGGACAGCAGGCATGTACCTGATGGCTGTACTGTGGACCAGGCCGCCTCTTATACACCAAGTATTGGGGAATGACGCAGCTCAGGATGACAACTTATTTTCAAATGTTTCGGGAAACAAAGTAAGTTTTCTTACATTATACTCATAACTTTTCTGCACATTTGTTTTGAAATTTTAGAAACAGATTGAATAAAAAAGATAACATATGTAAGTGAAGTGACACATAGCAAGTGCAGAATAAATGAGTTTCTCCTAGCTCACAGTCCCCTCTGCCTGGCGCACAGTAGGGCAACTCTTCAGTTACAGCCTCTGATCTGTGCCCCTCCCGCAGGTTCCTGGAGGAGCAGGGGACCCACACACACACTCCCTGCCCTACCTCAGAGCACCTACTCAATGAGGCCCTTCCACTGGGGGCTGCGTTGGCAGTCTCCTAAGGGCGCCTGCACAGAAGCGGATGTATTTGCTACTGCGCAGTCTCCTGCTAGGAGTAGGGGTCTTCAAACCAGCTCTGTCTTCCTCCCCTTTGTCCTGGCCCGACCACTACCCAACACACCAACTATTTGGTCCACCCTTGAGAAGGAAATAGGAATAGGCTAAATTCTCTTAAAATCCTGAAACATCTTTAAAAGCAAAGAATTTACAGATGTTGCTTAAACTTTATAAATCAAGACATAGGTGAGGGCTGGGGAAAGGACTCTTTGGGGGTGACAATGATATTCTTTATCTTCACTGTGGTTGTGGTTACCCTACCGAACAAGTGTCCCAAGACTCATCAAACTGTCCACTTACCTAAACCAAGTGAATTTCAGTGACTGCAATTTACACACCAATAAACCAGACTTCTAAAACTAGATTTTAAAAAGAAGAAAGAGAGGTGCACATCACTGACTAGTGCAGAGAATACACAAAACAATTAAAAACTGAAAAGGCCAAAAATGGTTTCTCAGGAGTGTAACCTGAGTGAAGGCAGGAGAATGAACCTGAGGAGACCACAAGAGTTGAATGAGTAAATCCAAGTGTAGTGCTTGGAAAAAAAAACAAATACATTACATCTATGAGAATATAAAAATGTTTGGAAGTGTTTAAGTTTGCAAATAGTTATCAACCAATCCAAGACCTCCTTATAAGTTACTGTTAATATGTACTAGAATTATGAATTGAACTGTAAGAGTTAATCAGATATTAATTTAAATGTTTTTAATATTAATTCTTAAAATAAAAATAAACCTCTGAAGTCTTTAGGCTCTGAAAAGTACCTTCCAGGACATTAAACCTCCCACTTGAGAGAAACAGATAAGCTTTGTGGGGATAGCTTTTCAAAGACCTGGAGATGGGTCAACAAAGAATTCTGAAACAGAAAAATGAATTTTTAAAAATTATTATCAACATGACTGGAGCAGTGGGACAATCTGGGGAGAAAACAAGTACAGAACTAATCCTTCCTGTCACCCCTGTCCCCAGATGCCGGCCTGTATGAGCTCACAGTGTCCTACCAAACTCACCCTCAGAGCCTGTCAGGTTCAATACTCCCTTGCCAACAGACAAAAAGCTAGGGCTTGAATTTGGGGTCACACTGGGGAGATTAAAACCCCTACTCCATTACTCACTGGCTGGTCCTCTATGTACCAGGCCCATCTGAAAATGAATCCACGTGAAGACATTTAAAGCCCAAAGACTCCTGCCTCCTGCAACTTAGGAGTACCGCGGGACACCCGCTGAGGTCTGTCCCTAACACCAGAAAGAACTCCACATCCCTGTTACGGACCGAGGTCCCTGCGAAGCTACAAAGCCTGGGGCAGCCCCAGGGGCTACTCTTGGCATGGGACAGGGCTCCCCAAGTCAGGACCCCTCCCCGCAGCATTGGTCCCGCACACATGGATGCCCCCATTCACAAGACCCCACCTGGGTGTGCACCCTCAACCCCTCGCCCCCTCGGCTAATACTGGAGACCATCTTCATGCCTGGTGTACAGCAGGAACTCATTGGTGACTGTGCTCCCAAAAAGAAGGAAGATCTCAGGAAGACCCCACAGGGGCAAGTCCTGCAGTGTCCAACCCTCATTTTAGAGGCCGAGGCCCTAGAGGGAAAGAGAGGAGGCCATTTTGTAAGAGTAGAAAATAAAGGTAATTTTTAAGTCGTAAAATATAAAAATGGCAATCAGACCCACAATTCAGTCCCAGGCAGCGGCCTGCACGATGCCCAAGGTCTGCAAAGCCACAAGGTGTGGGGGACCGGCCGCTGGCTCCAGCGCAGTGCACGCGGCTCACCGAGACACCCCGCCCTCGGCCAAGACAGTCCTGGGACGCTTGCTCAGAACAAACGATTTGTTCAAACTCTCATCCCGCCCTCTGCCACTCCAGTCCTGGGGTGCCTGCGCAGTGCATGCAGCTCGCCCATACCCTCAGGCCACGCCCTGCCGCCCACACAGGGCATGAGGCTCGCCAGGGCCCTCACCGCACTCTGCTGCCTCACTCCTGGGGCACCTGCGCAGTGCGCCTCCCCACACCCAGTGCAGAGCTGGCATCCCACAGGGGCGTGTCTGTATGCCCCTCCTCTTCCACCTGTGGTCTAACATAGTCCTGGATTGCCTACTAAGCCAGTCTCCTTCACCTATGCGTCCTATGATCAATTAGAAGGGAAGAGAGAGAGAACTCACAGGAAAATTCCAAACAAATCATCACCAAGGCTGGGCGTCATCCGGGTACCCACCCCCACCCCCAGTATTCAGCTAAGATTCCTTCCCAGGACTTTGCAAGACTTTGTTAGGCCAAGGGCTTTTGATACTTAAAAAAGATTTATTCAAGGGCCTCAGCCAACCTTCCTCTAAGGGATTGTGCCCACCCATCAACCCTATACCCCTTTTGCTTCTGGCTAGACAAAAGCTTTGTGAAGAACACTGTAGGGAAGGTTATAATCTTTAGTGCAGGGGCGTGGTCCATTCCCAATCAAGCTTTCTGTTTCTCCTCAGGAATCTTTCCCACTTGCGTCCTCAAATCAGGGCCTGAATGGGGCAGCCTCTAATGTCTGTGAAGCAGCATTTTCCCTTCACGCAGAACCAGTGCACACACTCCTTTACAGCTGTGCACTGAGCCTCACCACAAACCCAGTGAGCAATGGGACAGATCTCATTACCACTTTCCCTGTTCTGAACACCAAGACCGGGAGATGTACTCCGCTAGTATACTTGTATGCTATCCCTCTGAACCTGGCTAATAACCTTGACAAACAGTATTACAACCAAGGGGAAACTGGTTTAAGAAAGCTAGCTAGTTTGAGGTTAGAAAGGTTAAACAGCCTGTAAGCAGCAGCACAGGATACAAACACAGGTCCAAAGACAAACCTAGGGTTCTTTCGTCTAAAAGATGAACAGCCACCCTTCTAGAATGCACATAACCTCCTGTGAAAGTGCGCTAGCTGCAGAGCATGAGTTTGGTTGTAAGCTTGGTTAGTTAAGGAGCCTGAGATGCTGAGAAGTCTGCTCTATAGCTACTGCCGTACCCAAACACACACTGCCATACCCAAATACACACAGTGTATGATGAAAAATTATGAACAATTCATAGGGGAATACAAAACCAACCAACACAGCCTCTTTGACTAACTGAGATTAGTTTCATGCAGCTCCAAAATGAGATGAAATGGGATTGGGTACATAGAAAGGATTGAGGCAACAATGCAAGATGGGCAGGCAACCCACTTAACGGAAGAAAGTATTTGCAAATCATATGTCTGAAAAGGAGTTAATTTCCAGAATATATTAAAAAAACTACTAACTCAACAACAACAAAAAAACAACCCCTCACTCCGATTGTACCCTTTCTGAGGGACCTTTCCCCTAGGGTCAACTCCTGATGCCCCACTGAAAAGGGGGCAAAGGACTTTAGACATTTCTCCAAAGATACACAGATGGTCACTAAGTATGTGAAATGACATTCAACATAACTAATCATTAGCAAAATGCAAATCATAACCACAATAAGATGCCACTTCTCATCTATTAAAATAGCTATTAACAAAAACAAAAACAAGCAAAAAACTTCAGTGTTGGGGAATGTGGAAAAATTGGAACTTGGGTGTACTGCTAGTGAGAATGTAAAATGGTGCAAATGCTATAGAAAATAGTATGGCAGTTTCTTAAAATATTAAAAATAGAATTACCACATGAAACAGAATTCCACTTCTGGGTATTTACCCCAAAAAATTGAGAGCACAGACTCAGAAGAGATATTTGCAAGCCAATGTTCTAGCAGCATTATTCACAATTGTCAAAAAGTGGAAACCCAAATGCCCGTTTGGAAAAATGGATGAATGGATAAACAAAATGTGGTATATACATACAATGAAATATTAGTCAGCCTTGAAAAAGGATGGTTCCTAACAAATGCTACAACGGGGATGAACTGAAAAGACATTATGGTAAGTGAAATAAGCCAGACATAAAGGGACAAATATTGTATGATGTCATTTATATGCAGTATCCAGAACAGTCAAATTCAAGAGACAAAAAGTAGAATGGTGATTGTCAGGGGCTGAAGGAAAAAGGGCTGGGGAGTTAGTGTATGATGGGCACAGAGTTTCAGTTTAGGAAGATGAAATAATTCTCGAGATGGATAGTGGTGATTGTTGCACAATTATGGGAATGTACTTAACGCCGCCACTCTTAAAATGGTGAAAATGGTTTTAGGTTATATATATTTTACTACAAATTTTTTAAAATAAGAAAGACAGATGGGCAACAGCCAGCTCTTCAAGGGTTACCTATGCATTGCTAAATACTTCGGACATATCATCTTAAAGACTAGACTGCACCAGGAAAGATTCTAAAGGGTATTCGGTTAAGAGAGAATTCCCTATGCCCCAGGACAATGTGGGTGATAAGGACCTATAACAGAGTTTACATAAAACAGGCAGATTACCGCACAAAACAACGAAGCAGAAAGCCTGCCTAGTCTTAAATACCCCCACTACCACCACCAATTTATGTCCAGAGAGAAGAGCAGGGAGAACTGGGTCCCACGATAATGTTACAGCGAGGGCACCCCGTCTTGAAGTCTCTGAGTCAGTCACCCCCTCGCGTTGTGGGCATACAGAGGGCTCCCTTCCGGGGAACAGCTCCCCGTTTTCCACACATATACACCTCACCAAATTTGTCAGCAAACCCCTATTCGCGCTCCAATTGGCAAAAGCGTAAAACTAGAACCACGAAGCAAGGATCAAGTGACCCCAGCGCTCACTAACTAGATGACTCAGTGCAACTAGTAGACTTTCTGAGTCAGACTTCTCCTCTGGGAAGGAAAGATCGGAGGGCATTCACCTCTCACAGCCGCCGGGACAACCGGACACGAGGTAATGCACTCATGCCTGGGCAAAACGCCCTGCAGAGCGCTGCGCCCGGTGCCCGAAGCTCCCTTGGATGCAGGAAGCATCACACAGCACCGAGATTCTCTGACTTCACTGTCTCCCACCCCAACAGTGGGGGCTCCTGAACCCCGAGACCCGTCCTTCCGGCTCCCGGCACAGCTGGCAGTGCATGCATGGAAGGCCGAGGCCTCGGGGAGACCCTGGGCGCCGTGCAGCGCCAGACACTGACATTCCCCCCCCCAGGAGCCGCCGGACGTGCTCCATGCCTGCGGGGAACATAAGACAACGGAAATGAGCCGGCTGGCGGAGGAGCACTGAATGCTCCCAGCCTGAGTGCTGCTGCCGCGTGAAAATGTGGCCGAGGGCCGCCAAACAGTTTTATTTCCCTCTCCCGGAGAATCCACATATCCGGATTTGGGGGTTAAGCCTGGCAGCTTTTACACGCTAACAACTAACTCAAAAGAATCTTAAAACACAGAATCGTCCAACCGAGACGCCTCTGCGGAATCCGGCCTTCACGTGGCCACTCTGAGAGCCCTGTGTCCACGCCAGGGTCTCCGGGCGCTGGGGCGGCGACCCCCCGGACCCTGGAAGACCACACAACCACTTACAAAGGAGGAGAATGACGGGAGGAGGATCCTGAGGACATTGCACCCAAACACGAAACTGAGCACCAGCAGCCACGCCCAACGGTCGGCCTCCGCCTCGCTCATTCCGGCGCTCCGGGAGGAACCCGCGATGGGGACCACGCCGACGCCCGACG